ATATATATATATATATATATATATATTCATTCAGATTGGTGATAAGCAATTTGCGAGCTATCTTGTTTTTTTTTCCTTTACTGTCCATGTTTATATGGATTGAATGGAATTTGGGAAAGTTCATTTGAAGGGTTTAAAGTTGTATATCTTTTAATTAAACTATTCATATGATTGATATTTGTGGAAGCATTGACGTGCATGTCCCCTAGCTTCTATATAAGGCTGCATTTCGGTTCAGGATTTGAGGAATAATTTATATTTGTCCCAAATTACAAAAAACAGAAAGTGCTATTTTATAAAATAGTATTTGTTAATATCCGGTTCTATTTAATAGCTTTAACATATTGAGCTTATTTATCTTAATCATGCATTACTGAATATAAAGATGATTGTTTGTGATGGCCTCTATCGTTAGCATCCATTATGAAATTGCTATAGAGAATATGCATACATTGGAATTTCTATTAACTCTAGGTGGCTCATGCTACATGTATTTTTTGAATCAAAATTTATTGAATTATCAATGTACCCTATCATCCCAAGTCAAAATAGGAAGGTTTATTTTTGGAGGTTTGCTCAAACAGGTTAGAATTTTTGATTTTGTGATTGATGTCTTGCAAGAGATAAAATAGGAAGGTTTACATACAGTACCAAGCAATTCTTATGCATTTATATGTCTGTCAATAAATCTATACATAAGTATTGAATGACATGTATAAAAATAATTTAAGTTAAGTGCTAGAAATACAAATACATGGAAATTGAGTGATCTACATATGAATCTCATTTTCAATTAAAATATTGCTGAGGCCTTTTGTTGGATCAATTATTAGAAATGTCACTTGCTGAATTCAATTGACTTGCTGAATTCATTTAGAATGATTTTAATGATCATTATATTTTAGGTTTTAAATAAATTACATGGACATTTAAATGCTCACCACTCGAAATATTTTTATCCTGAAATGTTTGTGCCATATATCCAAAATGCTTGTCCAAAATGCTAGTCAACTGTTGAAGTTTTTCATGCTTACCTTTATTCGAGATAATTACTTACATACCACCCAATTCATATGTATTTACATATCTAGCATCTAAAGTTTACCTTTTATATTCATAGAACCCAAACCTTACATTTCACATCAGAAATCACATCAGAAATACCACATGTTCAGCTTCAGAAAGTGATATATACCTTTTTTATACACATGTAAGGTTCTATGAAAAAAAAAGAATGAAGTATAGGTGTCAAATATGTAAATATATATGAATTTAGTGGTATGTATGTAAATTTTCATTTCTTTGGTTTCCTTTGAGTTCTGAGTTTCAATGTGCTGATGTGTTCCTCACGTCAAAACATAATAGGTATTTAAATTTTTTTTTTGGGGAAAGGCAGCTACTGGATTCTATTTTTATCAATTTAGCATCTAAATACATGTATTTATATTTCCACTTGATTCTCACGCAAAGCATATTAAATTTTAATGACTCTTTATGTTGTAAACAAATATACACATCTAAATACATGCGTGTATTTGTTTAAATACAAATTTACAGCAATACACCATTTAATTAGCACCGAAATTAGGAAAGGAATTGCTGTTTAGAGAATTTGATTGAGGGCCTTTTAAGTTTTGCCTGTAAAATATTGAGGCTTTGAAGAATATTGACTCTTTTCATTTCTGATTTTCTTACATATGTTCTAAATATGTTCTTTTGTTTTTTTTTTTATATAATCATTCCCTTACAATCATTTTATCTATGAATGTAAAGCGGCCCTCTTGAACTCTTGGTTGAACCACAGGTATATAAATTGAGCAATAAGTTTTATTCATTTTCAATGATCGGGCCAATAATATATACATATATTATTGATTTATTCTGTCTTAAGGCAAGTAGATGATTTAAAAATGAAACATTCTTTTTATGATAAATGTATGAGGACTTCAAGTAATTATAGACTCCGGGCTTGACTGAACAATTCAGATGAGTTGTTAATGCGTGCATTTGAACAATGCATATACACTGAAGTTGTACTAAGAGTCTCCCTTAGAGGAATGTCCGTTAATATCTTGATATTTATGCTTCAGAATTTAATTCGTGGCTTATGGGAACATGTAAGAATGCAAAGAAAACTACCTACTACACTTTGTGTTTAGTTTATACATCATCGGATTTTTGCACAATTTTAGTAATCTGATATCAGAAATTTTGTTATTTACACATGTGGCACCTAAACTACAATGAACAAACACAGTTTCTTTAATCATTATGTATTTATCCATGTTAAGCTAAGTTTCAAATGAAAACCTGATTTATGGTGCATATACACACATGCTTCCCAAACTCTATGCATTAATTTCAAAGGGTGAATGATCTGTGTTGGAATATCATGTTGGCTTATAAGTTGGAAAATACGAGGATTTAAGGTAATGATGTATATCACTATACTCATGCTTATATAGTTGAAATTTTTAAACCAATAGTTGATTAGTAGTTCTCGTTTCCTTTCTGTAGGTTTATGATTGCTTTAAACCCAACTCTTAATGACTTGTGAACCATAGCGTCGTAGTGCATAGCCTCGTAGTGTTGGTTACTGAAAATCTAGAAATCATAATGCTACAAAAGCACCACATACATGAACATTATATACATGTGACACATGGTTGAGGATT